ATTTTGGGGGGGGGGGGGTGACTGCCTCTGTTTTTGAATCTAAATATAGTGTAGGACCCTATTTTGCTAAAAGACAGCTATATGGTATAGAAATTTGCCTTGATCATTGGCAAACTTTTTCTTTAAAAAATATGTACACAGGTGAAAAATCTCAGTTTTGGAAATATGGTGTTACTCATTAATGTATTTTTTCTTTTATTCATCTAATAAAATAATAAGGGTTTCTTTTGTGAATGCTGAATATATAGTAGAGGATATCAGAGAAAACAGGAATTTACACATAAGAATTCGTATACACGTATGGCAAAGTTACTAAAAGACATAATAAGGTGATAATAAGTAAGATGGGTTGGTAACGGAAGGCATCTTAGAGAAGGAAAACGCTTATGCGGAGTTGTGAAGGAAGAGTGGAGAAAACGATGAATTCTCCTGGAATTTTGGTCCTCTCCTCTTCTGACTCTGCGGATGCTTGCCTCTCACGATAATTGTCTTTCTTTTTTCTTTCCAAGATTTCTTTTTCAGCCTCCTTGTGCTCCTTCACCTAGTTACATCGTCAGATCTATTCCTTCCATATCGTGCCTTTCCTTTTCTCTTAATGACTTCCAAGTTTCAAGTTCTTTGCTCAGATCAGAGAATTTTGCAACCATGAAGGGGTAGGTAGTCTTGTGAATTGAGGTGGTATAAAATGTGTTTGACATGTTAACAGAAAAATTAGGTGACTTTACTCTGACGTCATAGCTGTGTTAAGACTGAAAAGGGCTAGGAATTTTTCTTTGTAAGGGTGATGCAGTTGATTTCCAAGCAATTGAAATTGCCAACTCAATCATTGGTGTCAAGCTCAAGTTGATATTTTAGAACCTATCATTATTTAAGAGGTACACTTTGGATTGTTGTCTGCGTTTTTACTTCTTTTTTTTTTTTATTACAAAGATGTGGGGTACGTTTCAGGGTTAGGTATACAAACATTGATTATGCAGGTACCCTTGTTGATGAGGTGTGCCCCTCCCTCCCCTAGCAGTTTCCTTCAACTGCCAAACCCACCCACAACTTTTTCACTTCTAAAAGCTAATTTACCTATTGCCATTGTTTCCAAGAAATAATGTTGCTGCCTCGACTAGTGTTTTCACTTTTTGTTCTATGTATGTACTAATCATTTTGCTCTCTCCTTCATTTTTACCATAGAAAATTTTATCTGAAACTACAACTGTAAATGATGTGAATTATATGTTTTCATTTTTCAAAGATAAGTAATTAAATTATGAGAAACTAGATAGACTCTAGTGATTGGAAAATGACTATATATAACAAAATAATTATTTTTTTGGAGGAGTTAAAATCTATCCACAACAGATGTGGATGGTATAAATTGTCTATTTTAAAGTATTCACCGAAACGCTTCCAAGCCATCTTTTTTATTAATAACTTTTAGACTCCTTTTTTACAATAGAATACAAAAATGCCTTGAAATGTTTATTCTGATATATTTTAGTCTTTTTTTTACATTGTCAAATAGTAAACATTGTAAATATTTTTAACCCTGACACATAGAGACAAGCTTTCTATTTTTTAGTTAGTATTGAAAATATATACAATAATAGCAGTTTCACTAGAACATGTTATAATATCGATCTTTAGGTAATATGGTTATAAATGACCCTACAGGAAACAAGTCTTTATTTAGTGAAATATATTGTTTTGGTTGCAGTTTAAAAAATATATTTTTTATTTTAAAGATGTGGGGTACAATTTAGAATAAGGTCTACAGATGTTAATTACGCAAGGTACCCTTGTGGATGAGGTGTGTCCCCCATCCCCTAGCAGTTTCCCACTACTGCCAATCCCGCCTTCCCTCTTCCCTGTCAGTTTCCCGCTATGCCAATTCCTTTCTTATAGTATTGAGATAATTGTTCAAGGTTTACTTATGAGTGAGTGCATGTGGTACTCAGTTCTTTGTTTCTGCAAGAGATCACTCTGTATCATAGACTCTAATTCCATCCAAGTTGCTGTGAAGTTCATAATTTTGTCCTTCCTTATGGCTGTGTAATATTCCATCGTGTGTATGCACCACATTTTTTTTTTATCCAGTCCTCTTTCGATGGACAGCATGGTGGGTTCCATGTTTCTGCTATTGTGAATAGTGCTACAATAAACATACGTATGCAGGTATCTTTTTCTTAGAGTGATTTGCGTTCCTCCAGGTATATTCCTAGTAGGGGGCTTGCAGAGTTGTATGGGAGGTTGATTTTTAGATCTTTTAGGAATCACCAAACTGTTTTCCACAGAGGTTATACTAGTTTGCACTCCCACCGTTGCTATGTATACATCTATGTATGTGCATAATGTGTATACCATAAATAAAACTTTTATTGCATTTTAAAAAATGCCAGAGAGTGAAAGCCTGTTCATATCTGGGCCATAACCCCTGGCCAGAAGCCTCTTGACGTTGCTAATACAAACTAATAGTGCAGTTTTTTTTTCCAAAAGAAGCAAACACTGCATGAATTCTGGATATTCCATTAGTCTTCTAATTGTTATCTTAAATTTTCTCACAATTACTTTGTAACCTTGAAACATATACTATGTTACTTTTTGCAAATTATATACTATATAAAGTGTAAAATAGGAAGATATTTGATTATTTCACTGCTTAAAATTATCTGTTCTGTTCTTGCTTAGATTTTGTTATAAATAAATGTGCTAAAGGAAACTGACTAATTGCATCCTTACGATCTTTAAATGTGTTTTTAAAGGTAAGTAATGGAGGTCCATGGTTTAAAATCTTGAAAATTAAAAAAAAAAAGAACACCCACCCCCTTGCAGGGAGCATCTAGCTTCACATTCTCTCTACGCGAAGGAAGCAGTGTTACCACTTACTGTGTATTCCTTTATATGCAAACACAAGTATTCTTCCCCATAATATTTTTCCCTTCGACTCCTCATATATTTTGTTTTAAGTTGTTCTTCCTTTTTACATATCAATATATCTTAAGATAGTTTCATGTAAGGACAGAAGGAGATTCCTAATTTTATGTATTTGATATACTGTAA